GAAAAGAAAAGAAAAGAAAATGAGAATTGGTCAAGAGGAAGCCAGCGAAGTTATAAAAGATGAAGAAATAAAAAAAAATATAAAAAGAAAAAAAAGAAAAGAATGTGAAACATCTCATCAGAAAAACTGTGAATCCACAGAACAGATCAAAAAGAGAAAACATAAGAATAATTGAACTACCTGAAAGTTCTGATCGAAAAAAGAATCTTGATACAATACTACAAGAAATAATTAAAGAAAATTGTCCTGAAGCATTAGAACAAGAGGGAAAAGTAGAAATAGAAAAATCCACTTATCACCACCTGAAAGAGATCTTGCGAGGAAAACTCACAGGAATATTATAGTCAAATTTTGAAACCCCCAGATCAAGGGCAAAATATTACCAGCAACAAGAAAAAAACAATTTACATATGATAGTACCACAATTAGGCTCACACAAGTCCTAGCAGTGGCAACACTAAAAGATCATAGGTCTTGGAACACTGTATATCAAAGAGCAAAAGAACTGGGTTTCCTGTTGAAAATATAATGCCTAGCAAAGCTAAGCATAATTCTGAATGAAAAAAAAATGGACTTTTGATCAATTGTCAGACTTTTAAAAAAAATCCTGAACTCAATAGAAGATTTAACATACAAAAACATAAGGTACATACCAATGACCAATTACAAGGGATTAAATAAGAATAGAATGTTTACCTTTCATGTATGAAAAATGTAAAACCTATGTCTAAGATTGCTACTAGTAATTAGGCAGCTTATAAAGGAGATTGGGGTAGACCCAAGTATGATATGACTTCAAAAAGTAAAACCACACAAGACAGCTAAAAGAGTAACTATCTTGGGGGCTGCTAGGTGGTGCAGTGGCTAGAGCACTGGCCCTGGAGTAAGGAGGACCTGAGTTCAGATCCAACCTGGGCAAGTCGCTTAACCCCAATTGCCTCACACACACACAAAAAAAAGAGTAATTATCTTTTACAAATGAGGTGCAAGAGGAAGAACCAATACAGAGGAATTAGATGGGGGAGAAGGGCTGTTAGTTCTGAAAACCTACTCTCACTGGGAACGGGTTTAAGAGGGGAAAATACATTTACATTTAGAAGAGTATATAAGTCTTCTAAATTTAGAAAGAAATAAAATTCTCAGGGGTGGTGGAGGGGGGAGAGGATAAAGGAGGGATCTTTAGAGGGGAGGCTGTGGGAATAGGTTAAAAGGGGGATTTAGAAGGGAGTTTACATTTAGGGGAATGGGAGGATAAGGGAGGGATTGCTGGAGTGGGGGTAGGTTAAGTAATAGGAGGGTGAGGTAGCAGGTAGAAGTAAAGCAGAGGAGTTAGGAGAGATAGGAAAAATAAAGAGATATGCACAAACATAAAAACAAAGATTAGGAATAGAATCTCTTAAGGAAAGTATATGTATGTATTCATATATATATGTGTGTGTATGTATGTATAAGTGTATGTATATATCAATACCTATATATAAATATATCCAATGCTTAACTGTAGCCTTAGGGTGATGGGTAGGGGGGAGGGAGGGGGAAAAAAGAACAAAGTAAAAAGTGTACAGCAGAGAATAAAAGAAAACCTACAAGGAAACAAAGAAAAGATGGACAGCTTTCAACATAACGCACAGTATTTAATATAGAGGCTTTCTTGAAAGAAAAGTTATCGCTATATAATTTAAATCCTCTCCTATGTTCTGCTGTGCACGTGACATTTTTTGTTTTTCTTATTTTATATTTAAGTTTATAATGTTTCTTTTTCTTTTCTTATCATGTATTTAAGTTTTAGCATTTGTCTAAAATTCAAAAAAAAGAAAAAAAAGTAGGCATGTTTGGAGTGGGACATGGGTGAGTGGGGTCAGACTGAGGAGGATGAGGATGAAACAGGGGCTGGAGACAGCTTGATCTCAAGGGCTGACTATTGATTAACACAGGAACAGAGAGAAAAACAAGAGAAGCATTGGGAATAGTGGTGACTGGAAGACGAAGAGTAAAGTTCCCAGGCTCTAAAAATGTTGCAGAGGTTACTGTGGTGGGCCCAGATTATGGTGGCTCCTAGTCTGCTACTGCAGCTTTTCCTTCTCTGGGGTAGTTGGCATTTATTAATAATACCTTATATTTTATGTGACTTTGTAGTTTACAAAGTGCTTTCACAGGCACGACACGCACACGTACATACACACACACACAGAACTCATCTGACCCTCACAATACTCTTGTGAAGCAGGCAGGGCGAGTAATTCTATCCTTTCCATTGAATGAATGAGGAAATTAAGGCTCAGAAAGTTTGACACGGCCAAGTGAACAATTTCTTCATTTTACAGATGAAGAAGGAGAAGCCCAAAGATTTTAAATAATTGGCTAATAAGCCACAGAGCAGGGGCTTGTAGGCTTCTAGATTGAAACTTAGGAGGAACTTTAGAGATCTGCCCCTCATTTTACAAGGTCACACAAATACTAAGTGGCCTCCCGCCTCCGAGGCTAAGACCCTTTCCCTAAATCATTCGTCTCTCTGCTCTTCTTGAATAGAGTCGTCAAGAAAAACTCCCAAAGTCTTAGCTCCCCAATGTTGTCACTTACCTAAGGCTTTATTGGAAGCCTGAAGAGAAGCATACCATCGATTCAAGCCGTCTCTTGTGTAGGCTGGAGGCAGAGCATCACTGGGGAAAGGAGAACCAAGCTTCAAAGGGACATGTACTTTCACAATATAATTTATAGCCATGCTTATGGAATCAAATAGCATCTGAATAAAATGGACTGAACTCCAGGGGTGGGGAACCTACGGCCTCGAGGCCACATGTGGCCCTCTAGGTCCTCAAGTGCAGCCCTTCGAATCCAAACTTCACAGAACACATCCCCTTAATAAATGGATTTGTTCTGTAAAACTTGGACTCAGTCAAAAGGCTGCACCCAAGGACCTAGAAGGCCACATGCGGCCCCCGGCACTATGCCTTTTGGAAGAAGTTCAACTAGTGGTGACCCAGCAGTCTTGGATTCGGTCCAAGATTCCCAAGTGCTTCTGCATTCCCTTAGTTCCCCAGGAAGTCATATGTAGTGAGGCCCAGGGAGTTGGGAGTGGTGGGTTTTCTTCACCCTGTCTCCCAATCAGGCAGGTGCTCTGGTACAAATTTACTGGCTGTATCAGTCTATTATGCCACAAGTCTTTGTTGTTTTTTTATAGGAGGCACTACTGTAGTCTAATAGACAGAACTGTTGACCAGGTATAGGGTGCTGGGCCTGGAGTCAGGAAGATCTGAGTTCAAAACCAGCCTCAGAGGCTTAGTAGCTATGTGACCCAGGAAAAGCCATTTCAACTCTGTTTATCTCAGTTTCCTCAACTGTAAAGCAGGGCTAATAATAGCACCTACTTGCCAGGATTGTTTTAAGGATCAAATGAATTAATATTTGTAAAGTATTTAGCACAGTGCCTGACACATAGTAGGTGCTTAATAAATGTTTCCTTCCTTCCTTTCAACCTTCTTTACCTTTATAGTGTGGCCTCAAGGGGCCAGAAAGTGACCCAAACACACCCCACCTCCAATACTTCCTGCACCAAGTTACAGAATTTCAGAAATCCAAAATGATAGAATCTGAATTCCAGAAATCTAAAACTGCAGATTTCATTGAACCTACCCAATCGTGATTAGCCCTGGTAAACAGTTCTGTCTTTTGGAGCAGAATGGTGATGGTCTCCTCCTCTTCTTCCTTCTCCTCCTTCTCCTTCTCCTTCTCCTCCTCCTCTTTCTTCCTCCCCCTCCCCCTCCCCCTCCCCCCCTTCTTGTTTCTCCTCCTTTTTTCTCCTCCTCCTCTTCCTCCTCCTCCTCCTCCTCCTCCTCCCCTGTGTCATCATTAACAAAAATAGTCAGTGCATTTGCACCAGGGCATCAGCCTGATTGAAAGAGGGGGGTGAGGAACACTCACCACTTCCAATCTCCTGAGTCCCATTGCATGCTACTTCCTTGAGAACTAGCTTGTAAATATAAAGGAAAAATCTTGAAGTTAGAAACATCCTCTAGAATTCTTTATATTCATCCTCTCATCCTTTCCTTGCTCTTCTCTACCTCAGAATGAATTGTTTCTCTTCACTTATTAGTGAGTGGTTCAGATTGTTTAACTACACTCAAAAGAGGAAATTTTGCTCACCACTCTCCATACCTAAATGAGTTGAGAATTTTGATCCGCTTTTGGTTTAATCTTTCCAGCTCCCTTATCATGATATCCATTTCTAGCTTTACAGATGGAGGATGCTGGATCTTCTCACTTTCCATGAATTCCCTAAAGGACACAAAAATATTTGGGGAGGAATGAGGGGGAATCAAAGTAAAGGAAAGAAAGCAGCTTTTAAATATAATCCCCAGAAATATAAAAAAATCAACCATCACTTTCTCACCTATTACCTAATTCCCAGATTAGGCTCTGACCATAAGGAATTTCTAATTTGAGCATAAAATAAATGTCTAAGGGCTTTGCTTCCCCTGTATTTTAATAAGCAGACTATCTTCAATATGATCATTTTTACATCTAAAATAACTACATATGCAAATGAACAAAGAATGTAATGTACATGCTATCCAGGTGATGGACTCAGAATGAAGTTTTCTCCTTTTTTGACATGGCTAATGTGAAGATTTGTTTTGCTTTACTATACATCAAGCTTTGTTTTCCTTGCTTTCTCAGTGGAAGAGGTAAAGGGAAGTGGGAGAGAGAGAATTTGGAACAAAAAATAAAATAAAATTGAATTTTTAAAAAAGAATGTTATGTACATCTCCCCTTACCCCACCCCATCCCCATCCAAAAGGGCAGTTTTTATTATGCTTTAGAAATCCTGGCATAATGTATTTATTCCTTTTTCTAAATGAAAGCCTTGCCTCACAACCAAAAGCATAGAGAGCTTGAATCATTGTGCAAGTGCTATTCAAGGCTCCAGAATTTGCTATTAATAAGGTTTCAGACCTGAAATTCCGAATCATTGATTCTTTCTTCATGTTCTTCCAGAATTTCATCAGATCTTGCCACTTGTGGTGGTTACTGATTTCCTGCTTTAGGTTAGACTCCACCAGATTAACAAACAGTTTAGCAATGGCTCTTTGATTTCCCAGTAGGGCTTGGTTTATGATCTGAAAAGGTTAGATGGGAAACGGTGATCTTGGTTTATACAAAGCTCTCCCTCTCTGAACTCCCAGAGTTGGTACCATATGGTGCCACATCTATGGTACCACTGAATTCAAATTGGAAGGGACCTTAGTACCTCACTGCACTTCTACTCAACCCTCTCATTTACAGATAAAGAAACTGAGGTCATATATTCCAATCCCTTCATTTTTATGAGGCCAAGAGAGGATATGTGACTTGCCTAAGGTCACACAGGAAGTAAGTGACAGAGCCGGGATTTGAACCTAGGTCATCCTGAGTCCAAATCCAGTGTTCTTTCCACTGCACCATGTCACCAGTACTCTGGGTCTCTTGCTGTTCTGCAACATTTTATGTTGATTTGTATTTATTGTCAAAGCTAATTATTTAATTCAGAAAATTTTGTGAAGGCAGGCGTGTCTTGTCTTTCTCTGTAGTCTTCATGAAACTTAGTATGAGGCTTTGAACACAGTAGGGGAGGAAGGAGAGAGGGAGGAAAGAAGAAAGGAGGGAAGGAGGGAGGGAAGGAAAGAAGGGAGAAAGGAAGGAAGGAAGGAAAGAAGGGAGAAAGAAAGGAGGGAAGGAAGGAAGGAAGGAAGGAAGGAAGGAAGGAAGGAAGGAAGGCTTATATTTATAGGAGGCTTTAAGACTTGCAACATGGGTCACATACATTATCTCATTTCAACCTCACAACAACACTGTGAGGTAAGTACTATAGGCTATTATTATTCCCATTTTATAGATAAACAAGTTGAGACTCACAGAAATTAAATAATTGTTACTACAACCACATTAGTATCAGAGGTAGGATTTGGACCCAGGTCTCCCCAGACTCCATGTCCAGAGTGCTTTTTACTACATCATGCTGCATGAAGGAAGAAAGGAAGGAAAAACAAGAAATTAAGCAAACTCTTTTTGTTTATTTTTTAAACTTTTCCCCCTATGTAAAATAAATTAAATTAACAAGTTTCTGTCTCAAAGATGCTTATAGTTTTTGGTATTAACCGAAGATAACAGTAAAAGGAATGATCATGATTAATAGAACTGATATCGAACAAAGAAAAACAGAAACTTCTATCTACATACACACACATATCCATAAATATATATTTATGTGTATGCATATTATAAAAGGATACATACATATATATCCATGGACACATATATACATATGTATATAAGTACGTATGTATGTATGTAACCCTGGCTTAAAGAACAAATTTCACGTATGGGACTTTCTCCTCATTGGGAGAAATCAATGCTCTGAGTCTGCATGAAGGGTGGAGCTGGTGAGAGTGGGAGGAGAGAGAGATCCTGGACTTTTCTGGCTTCCAGCATCGAGAGAGAAGATAAGTGAATTCAATCTCTCTTCAGGTTGCTGAAGGGAGAGATAGACTCTGGGAAAAAGTCAACATGAGAGAAACTTGCAGTCTTTATCATGTCCTTATTCCTAACTTGCTGTATTACAGAGTTCAAGGAATAAGCCCGTTGGGTGAAATCTGAGATGGTCTTGGTTGAGCTGAGTTATTTTGCTTCCAACAGGAAAGCTCATTTACTCTGTATATTGTCTAGTACATATTCTCATGTGTATGATTTGCTACCAACTTGGACAAATGGATTTCTTTGCTATCTCCTATGTTGTGTTCATTATAGAATTGACATCTAGGGGGGAAGGGGTCAAGCCTTGGATATATAGCTTGCAGTACTCTTTTTCTATTAATGAATAGCAATCAGGAGTGTATCTTGAACCTAAAAATTACATCCCCTAGATTAAGAATATTTAAGGGAGCAGATGAATAGAATTCTGGCCCAGCACCCTCCTGGGTACTGAGGAGAGCAGAGCGGCCAGCTTCTGGACAATTTCCCTCCTGGCGGTAATCAAAGTTTCCCTGCGAGAAGGTCACGGGCAGAAGACACTAGTGATGTTTATTTTGGCTTCCCTGGCAGCCACTTGTAGACAGACCCATGTGGATATACATAACCTACATGGGCAAAAACAACCATACCCATATATATGTGATGTGTATGCATATTTATATTGTGAATATATGCATATTTACACATATATTTCTACATATGTATATATATTTACATGTATGTATATATTTACAGATATGTGTATATTGTAGTAACTTTTCACTTCTCTGAAGAATGTGACTTAACTAGAATGCAGCTAAGACTAAAAAAGTAGCAAGAGTGTCCTCTAAAAAGCCAAGGTAGAAGGACATACATTTTATTCATAAGTGAAGCTGTTCAGGCCCTCATTTGAAACCTATTCGCTTTTATTTTACACAAAATTATAACAAACTTGGTGATAGACTTCCTAGTCCACAGCAGATTTAGAAGCAACAAATTATAAAAGTGTAAGAGGGGTGAGGTGCTGGAAGCAGGCACAGCTAACTCAATTTAATTCAATCGAACAACCGCATATTAAGTACCATCTATGTACAAGGAGGCCCTCCCTCCAACCCTGCCAAGAACTTCTTTATTGGCAGCAGCAGGAGGTAAAAGCTAGTATAATGTGGAAGGAGATAGAAAAACTATAAAAAGGAGACACAAGAACTAAAAAAACAAATCACAGCCATATAAGCCCATTTAGCATAGGGATGAATAACTCTATGAATCTCAGTAGCCCCCCACAGTGCAGAATTGGTGTTTGTAATGATGTCCAGTGTGAAAGGGTGAAATTATGTTGAGCAAACTCCACAAGAACCTAAGGGGCAGTGTGTTGTAGTGGCTAGAGAGCTAGTCTCAGGGTCAGGAAGAGGCTGAGTAAGTCACTTTCCCATTTAGAGCTCCCAGACAACTCTCTAAGACTCTAAGTTGAGCTGATCTGCACTGGTAGAGGGAATTTCCCCACCAGGACTTCCCTATACCAATGAAAACATAGGCCTGAACATTAACAACAACAACAAAAATACTCTAAGAAGACAGGTATGTATTGTATGTGTGTATGCGCGCGCGCACATGTAATTTAGAAGAATATCCATCCCACATAGTTAAAACAATGTGTTGATATCTAGAATGGGGGTGGGTTAGGTGGTGGTGCTGTGGATAGAGTACTGGGACCGGAGTCAGGAAGACCCAAGTTCAAACTCAGCCTCAGACACTTACTTACTAGCTGTGTGACCCTGGGAATGTTCCTTAACCCATTTGCCTCAGTTTTCTCATCTGTAAAATGAGGATAATAATAGCACCTACTGCCCAGGGTTGTGGTGAGGATCTAATGAGATAATAATTGTAAAGTGCTTAGCACAGTGTCTGGCACATAATAAGCACTATATAAATATTATTATTTTTATTATTAGTCCTCTGGAAAATTCACTAATATAGAACAGCTTATTTCTCTAGTAGTAACAGAGATGTGCAATGAGGAACTAGTATGTCTTTTGACTTAGATGTTCTCCCTGAAAGTTATTACCTCCTATGAAGATTAACTTACCATAGCTTCTTTATGAATCAGCCTTTCAACATCAGGGTAGAGGAGGTAGGCATTATTTTTTAAAATTTCCATGTATTTCTTCAGCACTTTCCCTAACTGGAGGTTAAAAAGCAACATTGTGAATACACTCTTAATTTATCATGGAATATTAATTTTAAAATTACAATTGTCTTTTATATACTGCTTTAACATTTTGCAAAGCACTATCTCATTTAAAAAAACAACAACAACCCGGCACCATCCCCCATATCCCAGGGCTAGAAGTGATTATAAAAATTAAGCTATTACTACCAAAAATGCAAAGGCAAAAGAGAAAGAATCCAAACATAGAAAGCTATTATGGGAATAGAGAAGACCGGGGTTCATCTTCAGAGGAGGATATTGAAGCAAAGAAACCCCCTTCTATTCCAAAGAGCAACACCAAATGGTCACCTGCCCAAAAAGAATTGACAGAAAAACTTAAAAAAAGACTTTAAAAATCAAATGAGAGAGATGGAGGAAAAACTAAAAAAATAATAAGAATAAGAATAATCTGAGAAAAACAAGAAGACTATGAAAGGAAAGTCAACCAATTAGAAAAGATTCCCCAGAATCTTAAGGAAGAAAATGACATCTTGAAAATTAGAATTGGGCAAGGTGAAGCCAGCAAAATTATAAGAGATCAAGAAATAATTAAACAAAATATGAATAATGAAAAAATAGAAGGGAAAGTAAAACATCTAATAAGAAAAACAACAGATCTAGAGAACAGATGAAGAAGATAGAACATGAAAATAATTGAATTGACTGAAAGCTAAGATCAAAAAAAGAATTTTGACACAATAATACAAGAAATAATTAAAGAAAATTGTCCTGAAGCATTAGAACAAAGGGGGGGGGGAAGTAGAAATAGAAGAAAATCCATTGATCACCACTTAAAAGAGATCCTATGAGGAAAACTCAAAGGAATATTATAGTCAAATTCTGAAACCTCCAGCTCAAGGATAAAATACTAAAAGCAACAAAAAAAAAAAATTTCAATATGATGGTGCCACAATTAGAATCACACAAGACCTAGCAGTGGAGATGTTAAAAGACTGCAGGTCTTGGAACACTATATATCAAAGAGCAACAGAACTGGGGCTCAGGCCAAAAATATCATACTCAGCAAAGTTAAGCATAATCCTGGATGAAAAAAAATGACATTTGATCAATGTCAGACTTTTTTTTGTTTAAAAAAAAAAAAAAACAAACCCTGAACTTAATAGAAGATTTAACATACAAGAGCCAAGAGAAACATAAGATATATACCAAAGACTGATTACAAGGGATTCAATAAGGACAGACCATTTATTTTTTAAATATGTAAAATGCAAAACAAGGTCTAAGACTCTTATTAATAACTGGGTAGCTCATAAGAAAGATTGAGGTGGACCTGAGTATGATATGACTTTAAAAAGTAAAACCATTTAGGAACAGCTAAAAAGAGTAATTATGTTATACAAATGAGGTTCAAGAGGAAGAATCGATACAGGGGAATTAGATGAGGGATGAGGGCTGGTAGTTCTGATAACTACTTTCATTGGGAATGGGTTTAAGAGGAAACAATATGCATATATTTAGAAGAGTATAAAAGTCTTCTAAATTTAGAAGAAATAAAACGGTGAACAGATAGGGAGAGGGGAAGGAGTAGGGAAGGATCTCTAGAAGAGATGATGAGGGAACGTTATAGGGGACTATAAAAGGGTGTTTAGATTTATGGGAATGGGAGGATAGGGGAGTGATCCTTGGAGGCAGGTAGGCTAAGTAATAGAAGGGCAAAATAGCTGGTAGAAATAAAGTAGAAGAGTCAGGTAGGATAGGAAACAAGAGATACACACAAACATAAAAACAAAGATCAGGAGTAGAATTTGTTTGGGAAAGTATATGTCTATGTAAGTATGTATGTGTATATATGTATATGTATATGTATTTATCTATAGCTATAGAGAAATATATCCACATTCAATTGCAGTCTTCTGGGGGGAGGGGAGAGGAGAAAAAAAGAACACAGTAAAACGAGTGTACGCGGCACAGAACAAAAGAAAACTTACAAGGAAGCAAAGAAAAGATGGACCGCTCTCAACACAAAGTGTAGTATTTATCATACAGGCTTTCTTGAAATGAAAATTTATTGTTACATATTTTGAATCCTCTCCTGTGTTCTGCTATGCACATGACATGCTTTTTTTCCCCTTTTCTTACTTTGTAATTAAGTTCCAATATTTAAGTTTATGATATGTTTTTTCTTTTTCTTTTCTCTATTCTGTATTTGTGTTCTGGTGTTTGAGTCTAAAATAAAATTTAATTAAAAATAAAATAATAATAAAAAACCCTAAACATCTTGCTAGATAAGTACTAAGGATATAATTATTCTCATTTTACAGATGAAGAAACTGAATCTGAGAGACATTAAGTGACTTGTCCAGGGTCAGACAGCAAGCATCTGAGTCAGGATTTGAACTCAGGTCTTCTTATCTCTAAGTCTAGCACCCTATTATCCATTATGCCATGTTGCTTCTGAATAAAATCACCACAGCAACAGTAAGACTTGACATAGAAAGAAACCATGTAAACTTTAACTCACTTTCTCAGCTCTGCAGGCTTCAAGTTTTTTCAGTCTCTCATCAAAATTTTTAATCCATTTTCTTCTATTTATGAATTTCTTGCTTAACTCATCCCATAGTTCGCACAAATTCTGCAAAGTGTAGTTTATGGCAGGTTAACAGAAACATGCCAAGTAAAAAGACATAAATGTAACATGTGTGGTAGGACCCTAGAGGAAGCAGCAGGGTCTGAAGGCCAATGGGGAGGGCAAGGTAGCCACAGCAGGCTGAGGCCTGTAACCTATCCTCTTACCTGAATTTTGAAAGTTTCCAATTCTATATTATCTTCAATTTCTTTGAAGAGAACGTCAATACTTTCATCATTATCTGACAGTTTTGTCAAAAGCTCCTCTCCAGGCTTCTTGATAAGAGATTCCATCTCCTTAAATAAGCAAAGAATGCTATTAGCTATCAAATACCACACATAACTTGGCCTCCATTCTTTAGCTGGTCCATCCATATTCATGGGATCACAGCATCACAGATTAGACCCTAGAGGTCATCAAATCCCAAACTTCCCTCATTTCACAGATTAAGGAAACTGAGGCACAGAGAGGTGAAGTGACCTGCCCAGAGTCAGAAAGCTAATGTGTCTTATAGAAAAATAAATAGCAATACAAGATACAGTATGCTAAGTGCTCAATGAGCGTACACACAACATTTACTTTAGAAATTCAGAGGAAAAAGAGATTATAGAGGACTAGGCAGGAAATCCTCCCAGGAAAAGGCTAGAAATTGGACTGGACCTTGAAGGCAAAATAGTAAAAAGGCAGGGTTGCCATAGCTGAGAAGGAGAGAAATGCATTCCTCAAAGGAAAAGTGTGAGTAATGCTGTAGATGAATGCAGGAATGTCCTAAATGCCAGGCTGAGGAGATTGGACTTTAATAGTGGGGAGCCATCAAAGTTTGGGGCAATTTGTACAAAGTAATGTTTTAGGCTGATTAATCTGGTATCAGCATGTAGGATAGATTGGGAGGTGGGAGGAGAGGTATGAAATCTCACCATCCCAATCTGTGATATTTCTTTCTGTAAATTTCTCAAATTGGCCTCACAGACGAGTCTTTTTCGGTTATCTAGCCGCTGAATGATGTCACTATTAATCTTCTCGGGAACTATAAAAGAAAGCAGAGAAGATAGGTTAATAGAGAGATGTGTCAGAGGCAGAATGGAAACAAGGTCCAGCAAAGATGCTTAATGCCACAACTTCAGAATTAGAAAAGGGAGACTGTTTTATTCTATATATGAAGTTCAGATGGCAATAATCACTATTCATCTGCATTGAAATAATTAATTTAGCAAATACCCACTATACATGGGACTATATATTCAATGGAAGTGTTCATTATGCTTTCTGATGATGTAACTTCCCAGAATTCCAAGGAAATAGGTAGTTTCACAGGCAAAGACTGAGATCTTAAAATTTTATGGGCCTTAATTTGGAAGAATAAAAACTAATATAACTCAAACGTTACTGATGGAACTATTATGTACCATTATCACCAAAGAACATACAATTAATGCAACTAGACACCAGCAAATTCTTTTTGATACATATAAAATTCAAAAGATCACACCCCAAACCTTCTATCTTTTGACTGACACGATATCCATTCAACTGCCAGTCATTTGTACTCTCGGGGTTTTAATATTTGTTTCATTCTCGTAGAGTCTTCTTCTTTTGGGGGGAAATCAAAAAATTCACTCTTAATCTAATACAAGTTATTTCCCTTTGGCCATAATAAATGTTTACTTAGGAATAATAAATATAACCATTAATTGCAAAAATAAATGGGAGACAATATTCTAGAGTTTGACAGCTTCTAGAGGAAGAATACATATTTTAGTCTTAGTTCCTTGAATAGGCTCTACAGTTTCTCAGTATGAAACATCCCTCCATGGACACATTTCCTCTATGTCTTAGGAGTATGGTCTTTGTGAAATGCTATGACTGGAAAAACTCATAACTGTGTAACCAACATGATAATGTGCCTCGCCAAATTTAACTATACTAGTCCTTTCATGATTTGTCATTGGGCCTATAATTAAAGCTTTTCAGTCTTGATGGCATCTGCCAGAGTTTCATGAGATCATAGATTTGGAGCTAAAGAGGGCCTCAGAATCATCTCGTCCACCTCCCTGATTTTGATGAGAAAACCGAAGCCCAGGATGGTTAAGGGACTTCCTAAGGTCACACAGCTGGTAAGTAGCAGAACAAGATCAAAGCCTAGATATTCCTTCTCCAAATCTAGTAATTTTTTCACTGAACTATGCAGTCTCTCCTGCATCTTTCCTGAGGCTGTGAGTTATACTGTGGATTTTCTTGGGTATGGGGAGGTGAGGTACTCAGGGGAATTCCCCAATCAACTCAATGAGCTTACAGGGCGATGAATGTCTTTGTCTGTGATCAGAAAAATGTGTCCTTAGAGAGTATAAAAAATGTCCATTGACACCTCATTTAAGGATCAAGTACAATCTCTGATTAAGTTGTCCCAAGATGAAGCCTCTTCTTTGTGTCTTCCAGGGAAAGGGTTTCTATGAATGGCACTACTTCGTTGATAGGAATCTCAGAAGGATTATCAGAGGGCAATTGATCAGGGTTTCTAGTCAGATTCTTGTCAGAAGAACCACCTATCTGTGCTGGTCTATAAAAGATGGCCAGCAAATTGCTCTCAATCTTTTCCCATTGTTTTTAGCTGTTCCTTTGTGCTTTTCCTCTGGGGTAGAAGTGCGGAAGAGAAATGTCTAACTTGATAAATTCCATAGATGAAAAAGCCTAAATTTGAATCAACTTAAATCTCAAGTTGCAAGAATTACCACAAATGAATTACATGAGGAAAACTGAAAAGTCTTTTATAGGATAAATCAGCTATGTTTTTTTTAGATTAAACTTTTTAAAAATATTTTTAAGTTTATTATTTATTTTTAACATTTTTAAAAAATTTTGCTTCCAAATCATTGGCATTTCTATATATTATCAACAAAGCCCAACAGCAAGAGATAGAAAGAGAAATTCCATTTAAACTTACTATAGACATTATAAAATATTTAGAAGTCTACCTCCTGAAACAAACCAGGAACTATATGAACACAATAACAAAACACTTTCACACAAATAAAGTCAGATCTAAATAACTGGAAAAACATCAGTTGCTCATGGGTAGGCCGATATAATAAAAATGACAATTCTACCTAAGCTAATTTACTTATTCAGTGCCATACCAATCAAACTACCAAAAAATTATTTTATAGAGTTAGAAAAAATAATAACAAGATTCATTTGGAAGAACAAAAGGTCCAGAATATCAAGGGAACTAATGAAAAGAAATGCAGGGGAAGGTGGCCTAGCCATTCCAGATCTTAAATTGTATTATAAAACAGCAATCATCAAAACTTCTTGGTACTGGTTAAGAAATAGAGTGGTTGATCAGTGGAATAGGTTAAGTATGCAAGACAAAGTAGTCAATGACTATAGTAATCTATTATTTGATAAACCCAAAGATCCCAGCTTCTGGGATAAGAACCCACTTCTTGAAAAAAACTGCTGGGAAAACTGGAAAAGAATATGGCAGAAACTAGGCATTGACCAAAATCTCACACCATATGCCAAAATAAAGTAAAAATGGGTTCATGATTTAGATATAAAGGCTGATACTGGAAGCAAGCTGGGAGAGCAAGGAATAGTTTACCTATCAGATTTATGGAAAACAGAAGAATTCATGACCAAACAGGAGATAGAGAACATTATGAAAAGCAAAATGGATAACTTTGATTACATTAAATTGAAAAGTTTTTGCACAAAGACAATGCAACTAAGATTAGAAGGAAGGTAGAAAATTGGGAAAGAATTTTTACAACCAGTCTCTCTGATAAGGGCCTCATTTCTAAAATATATAGAGAATTAAGTCAAATTTATAAGAATACAAGTCATTCCCCAATTGATAAATGGTCAAAGGATATGAACAGGCAGTTCTCAGATGAAGAAATTAAAGCCATCTATAGTCATATGAAAAAATGCTCTAAATCACTATTGATTAGAGAAATGCAAATCAAAACAACTCTGAGGTACCCCATCACACCTATCAGATTGGCCAAGATGACAAAATAAGAAAATGATAAAAGTTGGAGAAGACGTGGGAAAATTGGAACACTAATGCATTATTGGTGGAGTTGTGAAATGTTCCAACCATTTTGGAGAGCAATTTGGAACTATGCCTAAAGGGCTAGAAAAATGTGCATACCCTTTGACCCAGCAATAGCACTTCTGGGGCTATATCCCAAAGAGATCATACAAATGGGAAAAGGACCCACATGTACAAAAATATAGCAGCTCTTTTTGTGGTGGCAATGAATTGGAAATTGAGAGGATGCCCATTAATTTGAGAATGGCTGAATAAGTTGTGGTGTATGAATGTAATGGAAGACTATTGTGCTATAAGAAATGATGAACAGACTGGCTTCAGAAAAACCTGGAAAGACTTGTATGGTCTGATGCTGAGTGAAGTGAGCAGAACCAGGAGAACATTGTCTACAGTAACAGCCATGTTGTGCAATGACTAATATTGATAAACTTAACCCTTCCCAGCAATACAGGGATCTAAGACATCTCCAAAGGCCTTGTGATGGAAAATGCTATCCACATCCAAAGAAAGAACTATGGAGTTCGAATGCAGATCGAAGCATACTATTTGCCATTTTTTTTCTTCTGTTGAGTTTTGTTTCCTCTTTCTGGTGTTCCTCCTACTAGTGCTAATTATTACTTACAACATCACTAATGTGAAAATATGCTTAATAGGAATGTATATGTACAGCCTATATCAGATTGTGCACTGTCTTGGGGAGGGTGGTGGGGAGGAAGGGGGAGAAAAATTTTAAACTCAAAAACATATGGAAGTGATTATTAATAAATCAAAATAAATTAATTTTAAAAAAGGAAAAAGATTGTTTCCAAATTCTCCCTCTTTCCTACCCCTTCCATCATCCACTAAGAAGATAAGCAATATGACATCAATTACACCTGTGAAATCATGCAAAATATATTTCCATATTAGCCATATCACAAAAAAAGCAAGAAAAATAAAGTGAGAAAATTATATTTCAATTTGTACTCAGAGTTTATCAGTTTTCTCTCTGGGAGGTGAATAGCATTTTTTCATTATGAGTCCTTTGAAACTGTCTTGGATTATTGTATTGATTAGAGTAACTAAGTTTTTCACAGTCGATCATCATTACAACATTGCTGTTACTGTGCACAATGATCTCCCAGTTCTTCTCACTTCATTTTATATCATTTCATATAGATCTTGCCATGTTTTTCTGAAACCACTCCCCTTATCATTTCCCACAGCACAATAGAACTCCTTTACAATCATGTGCCACAACTTTTTCAGCCATTCCCCAAATGATGAGCATCTCCTCAATTTCCAACTCTTTGCTACCACAAAAAGAGTTGCTATAAATATTTTTGTACATATAGGTCCTTTTCCTTTTCCTTTGATCTCTTTATGGGTACAGGGGATAGTGGTATGGCTGGGTCAAAGGATATGCACAGTTTTATAGCCCTTTGGGCCTAGTTCCAAATTGTTTTCCAGATTAGTTGGACCAGTTCACTACTTCACCAACAGTACACCTATTTTTCCCTCATCCCCTCCAGCATTTATCATTTCTGATAGTGTGTGGTGGTACTTCAAAGTTGTTTTAATTTGTCTTTCTCTAATGAATAGTAATTTAGAGGATTTTTTCATATGACTATAGGCAGCTTTGATTTCTTCTTCTGAAAACTGCCTGCTAATATCCTTTGACCATTTATCAACTGGGGAATGGCTCTTATTTTTATAAATTTGACTTAGTTCTATACTCAGTATATATTTGAGAAATGAGGCTTTTATCAGAGAAACTTGCTATAAAAAAATCTGAATTACTTCATTGTCATGGTGCTTCTAATTATCCCTTTTAATTAGGTCTATTTTGGCTTTTGCTGTATCTGAGATCATGATTACTGCCCTTTCACTGAAGTATATTATATTCTGCTCCAGCCCTTTATTTTGACTCTGTGTATGTCTTTCTGTTTCAAGTGTGTCTTTTGTACACAACATATTGTTGGATTCTAGTTTCTAATCCATTCTGCTATCCATTTCTCATCCAATTTACATTCACAATTATGATTACTGTCTTTTTCCTTTCATCTTATTTTCTTCCATTTCTTCTCTTTCTCTTTTTACCCTATCTCTCCTGAAAAGTTTATTTTGCTTCTAACCACTGCTTCCCTTAATCTGCCTTCCCTTTTATCATCCCCTCCTTTCTCTTATCCCCTTACCCTCCTATTTCTTTATTGGGTAAGTGACATTTCTATACACAACTGAGAGTGCATATATATTCTTCCCTCTTTGAACCAATTCTAATAAAATTGAGGTTCAAGCTTTGCCCACTGCCTCCCCCCATTTTACAGTCCACTGAAAAAGCTTTTCCTTGTGTGCCTCTTCTTTGTAAGAAAATTTTCTTCAGTCTGCCTCTCCCTTCCCCTTCTCCCAATGCATTTCTCTTTCTCATCCCTTCATTTTTTGAGATCTTTCCAACATAATTGCCTTACATCCACGCCCTCTGTCTATATAAATTACTTTTAACTTCCCTAATAAAAATAAAGTTCTTAGGTGTTACATATGTCATCTTCCCATATGGGAATGTAAATAGTTTAACTTTATTGAGACCCTTATGATTATTCTTTCATGTTTATCTTTTTATATTTCTCTTGAGTTTTTGTATAAATGTCAAACTTTCTATTCTTGCCTTTTCATCAGGAATGCTTGTAAGTCCTCTATTTAAATAAATGCTCATTTTTCCCCTGAAGGATTATACTCAGTTTTGCTGAGTAGGTTATTTTTGGTTGTAATCCTAACTCCTCTGCCTCCCAGAATATCATATTCTGAGCCCTCCATTCCTTTAAGGTGGAAGCTGCTAAATCTTGTGTAATCCTGACTGTGGCTCCACAATATTTGAATTATTTCTTTGTGATCACCTGAAGTATTTTCTCCATGACCTGGGAGCTATGGAATTTGATTATGTTATTACTGGGTTTTTTCATTTTGGGATCTTTCAGGAGGTGATTGGTGGATTCTTTCAATTTCTATTTTACTCTCTGGATCTAAGATATCAGGGCAGTTTTCTTGATAATTTTCTGAAATATGATGTCTTAGGCTCTTTCTTTGATCATGGCTTTCAGGTAATCTAATAATTCTTAAATTATCTCTCCTGGATCTAGTTTCCATTCAGTTGTTTTTCCTATGAAATGTTTCACATTTTCTTCTATTTTTTTCACTCTTTTGCCTTTGTTTTATTGTTTCTTAATGTTTCATGGAATCATTAGTTTCCACTTGCCCAGTTCTAATTTTTAAGAAATTCTTTTCTTCAGTGAGCTTTTGTACCTCTTTTTCCATTTAGTCAATTCTGCTTTTTAAGATGTTATTTTTTTCAGTATTTCTTGCGCCTCTTTTCCAAGTTGTTAATTCTTTTTTCATAATTTTCCTGTATCACTATCATTTCTTTTCCCAATTTTTCCTCTACCACTCTTATCACTTTCTTTAATTCTTCCAGGAATTCTTATTAGGCTTGGGTTGAATTGAGATTTCTCTTTGAGACTCTTTGTAGCTGTTTTCACATTGTTGCCTTCTTCTGAGTTTATGTCTTGCTCTTCCCTGCCACTCCAGTAGCTTTTTTTGGGGGGGGGGGGCTGTCAAATTCTTTATTGTTGTTGTTGCTGCTGCTGTTTGCTCATTTTTCCAATCTATATCTTGACTCCAAACTTTATATTAAAGTTGAGTTCTGCTCACCTGGGAATGGGGAAGCACTGTCCCAAGCTTCAGGTTTTTTTGTGCTGCTTTTTTCTGAGCTAGTTTGGGGGATCTGCAAGTTTTTGGTGCTTCCAAAGTGCCATGATCTTGGGAGAGGTGTGCTGTCCTGGTCTGCACTCTGGTCTTTATCCAGGAAGGGCCTGTGGTCCCCTGAAGCAGCAAGTGCTAGCTAGCAGTCCTCTTTGCCATGGAACTGTGACTCAGACCCTTGCTGCCTTGTAATTGACTCCCAATGTTCCTCTGTACCCTGGAACTGTGACCCAGAACTGTGTATGGGCATAGAGTTGCCAATCAGTGCCAGCTGTACTCAGTTCCAGCAAAGTGTCCCCTGTAATCTCTTTCTGACCAGCTGTCCAACACCTTTACAATCTCCAGGCTGAGAGCTCCCAAAGTTGCTGCTGCTGCTATGACCACTGTTGCTGATACCTCATGTGTGGGCTCCAAATAGACTTCCATTCCAGTGTCACAAAGCTTTTCTTCTGACCTCCTAAGTCATCTTACACTGGAAAAATGTTTCACCCTGACCTTTTGTTGGTTCTGCAGCTCCAAAACTTGATTTGAGGCATTATTTTAGGGAATGTTGAGAAAGTTTAGAGTTGCCTCTGATCTGTCATCTTAGCTCTAATCGCAGCTATTTTTAATAAATTTTTAATAATTTTTAATAAAGTCTGCCATATTTAAAACAATAAAGATTGATGGGATTTCCAAAACTAAGAAACTGTAAATCAAGACTTCTAACAAAAACCCAGTTATCTGTAATGGAATATTACTGTGCTCCAAGAAATGATGCATATGATGACTATAGAGAAGCATGACTTCCATGAACTGATGTAGACTGAAGGAAGCAGAGCAAAGGAAACAATGTACACAATGACCTCACCAATGTAAATAGAAAGAACCACCACCACAACACAATCAAGAGTCAATGTTGCAAAATTGCTAAGAACAAGCATGGTTTTAAAGAAGAAATACAAAAAGACACCTCCCCTAAATCCTTTGCAATGGTAGAGTTCCACAAGTATGGAATTTTGAATATATTTTCAGATTTTTTAAATATATTAATCAGTTTTCTGATTGTTTTTCCTCTTCTTTCTTTTTCCTTTGGACATATTTTTTATTCTAAAGGCTGGTTCTCTGGGAAGGGTGGAGCTCTCAAAAGTAAGTTTAAGGGATATAAAAACAAAAGATATCAATACAAATTATTTTTTAAAAGCCAGTTATCTCTGAACTCCTAGAGATTGTCACATGGAAGACAAAACAGATTGAAGATAAATATTTCAGTTTTACTCTCAGTCCATAATCTAGAAACTAATGCTTTTAAAATGACCTTAATTCTTATGAGACCCAAAAATAAATCACGTTCATCAAGTATTGCTGCATATTTGTAACTCTAACACAGCTGATATTTTGTGTTTAAAGCTGGACACAGTAAGTTATCATAACCAATATCTGATCAGATGATATATGACCCAATTTATATGTTGTTTTCCCTGCTAGAATATAAGTTCCTTGAGGGCAGGGATTGCTGTTTTGCTTGCTTACATGTGTCTCCATATTGAGAGCTTGGCACTGTATGTGAATAGTTTCATCTCAGAAGATCTTACAAAATCACTAAATATGTATATGTTTTCAAGCAGGTCTCCTACAAGAGGTAAATTAGGAAGACATAGGAAACAGGTTAGTCACAAAATCTTTAGCTTACCAATAAAGTCACTTAGGCCTCTCACTTCTCGGGCTGCAATCACATCTTCAGTTTCTCGACTCTTTTTAATGGTAGCTGTTTGGATTTCCCTGAAATCAATGAACAAGAGAAAGTTTGAACCCCAAACAATCACTGAAATTTTAAATAATAATTCTCCCAAACTTATAAGATTATCAACTAGAAGATAACTATTGCAGCACCTATCCCAATAAGGATATTAAAAGCCTATTGGATCAGTGTTCAGCTATTGGACCATGCCACTTCCACTACTTCCTTCATCCCTTCTCAGTCTTGCCCCTAACTTAGTATTGACCTCACTTCCTGGCCACCAGCTCCTAACTATGCCAGAGCACATGTAGCCTGGCTCCCTTTCAGGCTCCCCTTTATATGGTGTCTTCCCTATATTAGAATGGAAGCTCCCTAAGGGTAGAGAATCCTTGCTTACTTGTATCTCCATCTTCAGAGCTTAGCATGTTGCCTGGCAAATAGTAAGCAAAATAAAGACTTTGTCTATCTTTCTTCTTTCTTTTTCTTCCTTTCTTCATTTTCTTCCTTCCTTCCTTCCTTCCTTCCTTCCTTCCTTCCTTCCTTTCCTTCTTTCTTTCTTTCTTTCTTTCTTTCTTTCTTTCTTTCTTTCTTTC